CTCCGGGAAGACATTGTGGTGGCCATCTTAGGTGGAAAAGTCCTTCCTTCCTGGAGGGCGAGGGGCAGTGGGCAAGGGGTGAAGGGTGATGGGTGAAGGGCAATGGGCAAAGGGCAGTGGGCAATGGTGAAAGGGTGATAGATGAAGTATGATGGGCAATGAGCAATGCACAAAGGGTTGTACGTGAGGGGCGAAGGACTTCTTCAGGTCCTGGAGAAGGGAAGGCTGTTCCTCGACACCTGGCTGGTGACTGCACCAGTGGACAGGGGATGGGGCATCCCCTGTAAATGCCAGGGAGAGGCCACAAAGGAGTGAGGAGAGCAGGGCATGGCTCAGCGCTCTCCAGCCATCACTGGTGACTCGCTGGCCTGGCTTGGAGTCCCTATCAGTGATGGCTTTCATGGTGTGATCCCCAGCGTCCACAATACGGGTCAGGTTTACTGGGCATCCCCTTGTCCATGAGCCCCAAAGTGAGGTCTGCTGGTCCAGTACATCCGGAACTGGGGTGGGTGCCCACCTCCCTCTAATGACCTGTCTGTTGGCACAGGGAAGAACGACATCTTTGGGGAGCCCATCAGCCTGTACGCCCGCCCAGGGAAATCCAATGCTGATGTGAGGGCCCTGACCTACTGCGACTTGCACAAAATCCAGCGGGAGGACCTGCTGGAGGTCTTGGACATGTACCCAGCCTTCTCTGACAACTTCTGGAGCAACTTAGAGATCACCTTTAACCTGCGAGATGTGAGTACCAGGGCTGTCCCACAGAGGGATGTGGTCAATGCCTTAAATTTGACAAGTGGGAGGGCTGAAGCAAGGATGTCAACAGGTGTTCCTCACTCATTTTGCTGGTGGATCAGCCATGTTTCCCAAGGCACTCTCCATGGGGTTATGGTTTCCCCCATAGCCCAGCAGGTATGTGCATACTGTACGTCCCTGATCTCTTCAGAAAAGCTGGCCCCACAAGCCATGTTGGCAATACCCTGCTCTGCAGTACCAGTAAATCATCTCCAGGATTGGTCCAGCCTGGACAAGTGGGTCACACACATGTTTTGAGGCTGCTGAAGTGAGAAATATCCTCCAGCTTCGTTGAGCTGGGTACCGGCTTCCTTTGCAAATTCCTTTTTAAATCAGGTCTGCAATCCATGAAAGGCTTGGAGCATTTTTGTCATTGCTGTTTGACTCTTAAAATTTATGACTGGACTTGGTCCCTTCCTGATACTTTTTTTCTGAGACACTTGCCTGGTAAGATAGAAAAGAAAGTCAAACTCCCTCTATGTCCTGTCCCAACCCAGGATGTCCTCAGGGTGCTCCTTCCGTCTCCATGACCCTGACACCCTCAACTCAGTCTCAGAGCACCAAGGCCAGCCTCTAGGATCCCTTGAGTTAGGTGCTTCAGGAGTCACTGGGTGAGACAGGGCCAGTGATGGAGAGCCAGAGGTGGCTGGAGACCAGCCCTAGGAGGATGCTGAATGGGCTGTATCCCCCATGGATGGGCCTTGGTGCTCATGGATCACAGAATCATAGAATCACAGGTTGGAAAAGACCTCTAAGATCATCAAGTCCAACCGTCAGCCCAACACCACCATGTCTGCTAAACCATGTCCCAAAAGATGGGTCATGGCACCCTTGCCCTGGTGACCAGCCCTTCTCATCCCTCAGGCAGACAGCGTTCCCCGATCACCACTCAGCGAGGAGTATGACTGCACCTACCGGCGGGTGCGCCGACGCAAGCATTCCCTTTGCCAGCCCAACAAGCCCGGTGAGTCCCACTGCGTCGGCAGAGCCTGGTTTGCAGGGCCAGGGAGCAGGATCATCATTTAATGACTGCCCTCGCAGGTGCCCCAAAGCAGAGGCAGCTGTCAGGGCCTCCATCCCTGCAGACCAGTATGTCCTCACCCTGGGGGCACCCATGCTGCCTTCCCTCCCTCTCCTTAGGATGCCCCAGCCCTACAGGCACCCTGGAGGGGATGGGGGCTGATTTTGCCATGTGTGGTACTCCCCAAATTAACCTGTTGTGCTGCCCCACAGACCCGGACACGGGCATCTCTGACGCAGAGCAGTATCACACCTACTCAGAGCTCACCAACCCGCAGGACCCGCTGAGTAAGGACCAGTGGGACGACCTGGGCAGCAGCACCACTCCCTGCTCCCAGACCAGTGACGACGAGGCCAAGACTGGCAGCCCTACAAAAGCTGAGCCCTTCCCCACATCCAAAAAGGATGACTTCGCTCTGCCTCCGCTCAGCCTCGTCCCCACCAGCGCTGGTGGCACAGATGTCAGCAAGCAGGCGGCGGAGAGCAGCCAGTCCTATGCAGGTACCCACAGCTGCAGCCAGAGCTGGCAGGAGGGTGGTGAGAGATGTTCAGACATGGTGACCTTGTCCTAGGGCACAGCCAAGCAACTCATGCAGATTTGAGGGGAGCCACGCTTGTGGCCAAGGGTCTTTGCTGTCTTTTGTCCCCAGCAGTATCTGGTCTGTGCCTCCCATGCCCTGCAGTTTCTCCTAGCACCCAGAGACCACCTTTGGGACTTTCCCACAGGGCCAAACGCTATGGGCCTCCCATAGGCGTGTTGGGTGCCAGGCTGATGGACTTAAGTACCTTGGGTGCCAGGGTGATGGATCCCCATAAGCACCTCAGGTGCTAGGGTGATGGGCTCTCCCTGAGCACCATGTATGTCAGGGTGATGGCTCTCCATGAACATGGGTGATGGACTCTGGAACACCTCCATGCCAGTGGGGCTGAGGGATGTGAGACAGAAGTGCTGAGATGTCTCCTCTCCTTCCAGCCACCCCTCTGGACATCCCCAACATGTTCACCTTCTGGGAGGACCGAAGGCCAAACCACCACCCGGAGCCTTTGCAACACATCTCCTTGGTACACAGCTCACGGGACATCCCCCTGCACAGCGACTACAGACCGGGGCAGATCGAGTCCAGGCTGGAGCTCCTGCAGGCCCAGCTCAGCAGGTGGGCAGGTCCCCAGGGGCCCGGGTTGGAGAGCACCCAGGGGGGCTCCGGGCCATCACCTTCTCCTGCTCTCTCGGGGTGGCTGCAGTGGGCTCTGTGTGCAGCAGATGCCACCTCCTGACCCCCCACGACACTGCATTCCCTGGGGAGGTGGTGGGAGGGCTCTGCAAACGCAGCAGCTTCTCAGACTGCAAGTCCTGGCCCTAGCTGCAGCCCAGCACCTTATCTACCGCTGTCCCACCACCCCAGGGTTCTGCCACTTTGCCACAGCCTCCAAACTTGGATGCAATCACAGACATGAAACCACCCACAGGCTTACGACTTGAGCCTTTTGCAGGCCTCCTCTTCCTGTTACAAAGAGCTACAAACATCCTCTTGCTCGAGCAAACGAGCCTCGTACACATTTTTTCCCTCTAAATAAGAAAAAAGACATGATTTTTGAAGGCGAAGGAAGAGCCCACACTGGAGATGCAGGTTTAAAGGCCCCAGGCAGCACCCACACAAGCTGCTGGCTCTCCCACCCATGGCTCCTGCCCATGTTAAGCTCACTTCACCACAGAGCCCACACACGTATTTCGGTGTCTCGCCGATGGGCCATCCCCGGCAGCAGGGGCTGGATCTCCTGCCTGCTCTGTAAGTGCTGCCAGGGCCGTTGCCTGCGAGAGGGGCTGTGCCCGCTTCTGCCAGAGCTGCTCGTTTCAGCCAAGGACACGGCAGAAGGAAGGGACTCGTTCTACTTTTCCATTTCCTTCTATTCCTCAGTGAAAAATGGCTGGCACCAACCTGCCTTGCTCCCATCTGTCAGCACAGGCTGACCTGGAGAATTGATCCAGTTTAAAACAAACCATTGCAATTTTTTCCCCCCTCCGGGGTAGTTTTAGCTTTGTTCAGTTCCCTGCTCCAGATCCCAGTTTGGCTCCACAAAAACTGGGCAGGGGATGACTGAGTGTATCAGGAGAGAGATGGCAGGATCGATCTCTCTGTGACAGCGCTGGTTTGAAGCTCTGCTAAAAACCTCGCCAAGCAGCACCAGGCAAAGCACCATCCCCCTCGGGCAGCTGAATCGGCACCTCCTCCCCAGTGCCTCCCCTGGGTCTGGCTCTCGTGGGATGCAGCGGGATGCACTGTGCTAACGCTGGGCTGCTCTGTCCCCAGGCTGGAGTCCAGGATGTCGTCAGACATTAATATAATCCTCCAGCTCCTGCAGCGCCAGCTGTCCCAAGTGCCGCCCGCGTACAGCCCCATCTCACCGTCCTCCCACAACCTGGCCATGTACGGCATCCTCCCACGGAGCCTGGAGCCGCTCACCCCCTGCGCACCCATGGAGGATGAGGAGACGACAACCCCGGAGCAGGTAGGGCTCAGCACCGGCCGAGATTCCTTCTGCCCCGAGCAGACAGGTCCTGGATGGCCAGAGGTTTCCTCCAGCCCCCCTGCATGCAAAGCACAGCCAAGCACTGGTGGGTCCAGGCAAAGCCCAGGAGTCTTGAAATGGGAGTAGATCTACCTAGAGATGCTTCTGCCTAACGCATCGCTGATTTTGGGGCACAGCCTGCCATCTCCAGTGCTACCAGGTTGCCCCATCAGCAGGGAGGGGAGTAGATTCCTCCGCTCTGAGGCTTCCTCAGGAAAAAAATAACATTTTGGGGCTTGCCTGAGGAGAGAGCATGGCTATTTTGGTTTGCTTTTGCCATAATCCACTTGGTTCCTCCTTTCCCACCAGAGCCCAAGCTACACGGAGGTGGAAAAGTTCCACTTGAAATCCAAGGACTCCTTGTCAAGCAGGGTGCACCTCGCTGTGGCATCCGATGAAACCATGACGATCTACTCCGAGCAGGAGCACCATTCCCCACCTCTCCCGAACCCAGAGCCTCCCCACCAAAGGGCACCAAACCCCCAGGGACTCTTCCGGGGCTCTCGTTTCCCTTCCCTCCCTGAGCACTTGGAGGCATCTTCCGAGCACCAGGACATTCAGAGACACCTCTCCGACCCAGTGCTTCCTGGAAGTTAGAGACGTGGGGGTTGCGAAGCATGTCAAGAGGAACCTCAACTGCGAGCTCGGTCAGTTGATGTTGATTTTGACTGCAAGGGTAAGACGGGAGGACAATGCCTTTGGCTCAGGGGTATAATTTGTAGCTGTCTTCTGCCACCGTGAAAGGAAGCGTAGAGTGGCTGGCTTCCAAGGTCAACGTTTTCCAGCGGTTCCCATAGAGTAGATTTCATTTGCACATTATAGTGAACCCAGAGCAGTTCTTTCTTACGGCCACCAACAAGCTGGCTAGGCCAAATGGTACCCACCGCCTCTTCCTTTCCAAGGCTTCCTCTCGAGATCAGCGCAAGCCAAGTGAGCCACAGCGACCAGAGGAGAGCAAATCCATGGCTCTTAGCTGTGAGACCACTTTGCTGTCAGCTCTTTGGAGCAGGGACCATTGTGTTGGTACTGGGCTCAGCCCAGCGGAGCCTGTGGGCATTACAGAAAGGGTAGTCACCAGAGGAGGAGGGGGAGATCTCCACAGTGTGGTACTGGGCGGAGCTGTAGGTGGGAAGCCCAGGACAAGGACAGAGGACAGAAGCTATCCTTGTCCTACCTGACTGCCACTGAGAAACTAAGGGCCAACAGCCCTTGCCACTTCAGCATGCTTCAGCACGAGTCCTAGGGCACTGACTTCTCCAGCAAGGCTGACTGTGCCTTGCAAATCCCAACACGCATCCCAGATAAACCCAGCTGGTCACTGGCCTGGGCATAAAGCACAAAACTCAAAAGCACAATCCCAGAAAGCCGAAAAGCCCCGGACACCTCATCTTCAGTCCTTCCTCCCAGCTTCTCTCTTTTGATAAAGGTTTGATAGATGCTTCTTCCTCCCCAGTCCTTTGCCTGCAGACTCCTGCAGCATCCCCCGTACAAGACGCCCATTTAGCTCTGCCGCCTTGCCGTTCGGTTAGATGCTGTGACAGTCCTAGGCCGCCTGCTCAAGTAATGTATCGAGCTCCTTTTGAGAGTAGTAAAACTGTGAGCATCTCTTTCTCTGGAGTTTTAGTGTACACTTTGCTAATAAAGATGTTTTTGGCACCTAACGTGGATTACAGCTGTGTTTGTTGGGAGCATCCGTGAATTCATCCCTGGCAGCACACAGCACAGGTGCTAATCTGCAAAGACCCCTGAGAAGGCTGTTATCAAACCCCGGCTGCTTCATCTGGGGAGTGTGGGGCTAACGGAGCCCACGTGCAGGTCTTACAGGTCAAGGACAGGCCCTGGGCTTTGCTGAGCAGTTCCTTCCCGATGCAGTTCAGGCTCAGCAGCAGTTTGCAAAAGCTTTTCTACAAGACCAGCCTGCTGCTGTTCTCCTGCGTATCAGAAATGACCTCGCAAACACAACTCAAAGATGACACCAAGAGTCCTTGTCGCTAGCCAGGCTTCAGATGAGCACAGCGATACCTAAAGCCCATCCTCCGCCCCTTGCTGCAGGGGACACGGCTCCTGCCCCAACGGGACTGTTCATGGACCCAGGGTCACCCGTAACAGATCCCGCACGGACCCGAGAGGTGAGGGCAGACCCCCTGCCCTCAGCAGGGCATTAAACCTGCCTCTCCCCAGCCCATCTCGCTCCGTGGGGCGTGTCCCAGTGGGAA